TTCGATGATCGACTGAGCTAGAGACGTCTTGGCTGTTGCTTATTTTAATGATCTGATGCAGTACTTGCAGATCTTATGGTTTCGATTGTTTGTATTTATTTAATTTTGTTTGTTTTTGCTCTTTCTTTTCCGTCTCTCTCCCTCTTTCTCTCTCATTCTCATTCTCTCTCTCTCTCTCTCTCTCTCTCTCTCTCTCTCTCTCTCTCTCTCTCTCTCTCTCTCTCTCTCTCTCTTCTCTCTCTCTCTCTCTCTCTCTCTCTCTCTCTCTCTCTCTCTCTCTCTCTTCTTTTATTCTGTTGCTTTAAATCTATCTGTACTTCTGCTTACCCCCGAGTAGTTCTGTCTATCTACGTATATGTCTATCACTAAATTCAACAAACATAATGTGACTGGATCCTGTGACAATTATGTGAACAAAGAAAATAGTGTATTATATTTCTTCCTTTTTTGTAGATAGTTTTTCTTTCTTTCTTTCTTTCTTTCTTCCTGTATTTCAGCACGTAATAATACTTCACACTGTAGCATCTCATTTCAGCTTTTAAGATCATGAATGCTGTCAGAGCAAATAATATCTATTATTTTTTATCATATGGATTATCTGTTCGTCGAAAAAAAAAAACTCTAAAACATATGACATAATATTTCACACGTTCAATGTTAAAGAAGATCATTGAATTCCAGATAGAAATAGACCAATGTAAGAGAAAAAAAAGGGTATTTTTCTATGTTATTGTAAGGCTGTATAACTGATAAGGCAGATTTTGTTTTCCCTTTTGACTGAATCATGAAGAATAATGAATGTTATTGTGTGGTATTTTGTCCATAGAAATCGTCTGATTTATGAAGAAAGGATTACGGGAAATATTAAGTGTGAAGATCGTATAAATCCCAAAACAGACAGAAATCGTTCTGAAATAACAGATATGAAAGAAAATCACATAAATGAATACAAAACACGGTGGAAACGTTCTTTTGGTTGTGATAACTGGTGCCATAAGCAACTTTGTCCGAAACAAGCAATAATACAGTTTCTTTTTACGTGAAAAAATCGAAAAAAACGTGAAAATTACATAAACTTCTCTGTATAGTGTTTCAAAATGTATAACCATTTGTCTCATGACTTCGGTAGATCTTATGAACTGTATTCCACAATCATTGGCGTTCGTGGCATCTATGTAACCTTTATTTAGTGTAAATATACAGTCACTGGAAAGTGCGGAAAGGAAACAGGACAACGTGAAGATAAATTGGAGATAAGATGAGGATAGCGATAAGAAAAAAGGAAAAATGGAAGAGGACTGTGAGTGTTTTTTCAAGATCATGTTTGTGTCCCTTCAATAAAACGAAAAAGAAGCTAAAAAAAACACACAAAAAAAGAAAAAGAAAATTACATCAAACATAAAAAAAGAGGAAGGACTCTTGTTGGAAGGAGTAAGAAAAATAAATAAATAAAAATAAAATGTTTTCCACATGCATACATTATCAGTTACGTTCTGAATGGATGAGATGGATTTCGTTAGATGCATAAATTATTTACCGTTCAATTATGTAGATCATTTGCCCCCTCGATCAAGGATGAAGGAGTAAGGATTTTGAACACTGACCCGAAGTGGTATCCTATCACTGACAGAAATTGAAGTGTTATTTTACGATCCATCAGGCAGTGTTATGGAGTGTAATTCGTTCATCATCATCAGCTGCGGGATGGATGGTTTATTGTGGATATTTCAGTGTCGAGAGAGAGTGGAAAACTATGTGAAAAAAGAGATATATGTACAAAGGTATACAGACATTCTCACACAGGGATGCAGAGAGGTGACACCAACACACACACACACACACACACACACACACACACACACACACACACACACACACACACACACACACACACACACACACACACACACACACTCGCTCACACACAATTACAAATATGCTTGCAGGTAAGTTTTGAATCGGGATAATGCTTAGCTAAAGTCTCTATATCAAGCTTTTTTGTATTCATAAAAATAAATAAATGCTTTCCGTTTTTACCTATTCATGAATTTATTACGAATTATGTAAAATGACCTTTGCAAAAGACAAAAGGATACGTAAACAAGCAACGAGATTTTGATTTGAGCTGCATGCGTTTTCAAATTATATTAATTAATAACAAGGCGACGTTACATTGATCACACTTCAACACTAAATCTTTTAACATAGAATAATTCTGCTTGATTTCTTCCTATATTAAGTTTCAGTGACAGATTAGGTTGGTATTGGTTACTGGAAATGCTAGTTTCTTTTCCCTAAACATAGAGGATGGTTTTTTATATCTTTTTCTGTGAATGTAGCTTAACTTTAATAAAGAGAATGGTTAACAGTTGATGCAATAGTTCTTTTATTTATGAGCATGGAGATGACAGTTAGCCAAAGTTTTCCTATTTCTTAACAAGCATGACCTTTCCATACATCACACACACATACACACACACACACACACACACACACACACACACACACACACACACACACACACACACACACACACACACTAGCTGATATTTAACTTTTATTATCATTAGCAATATGCTATAATATGTCATTATCGATTTTTAGAATATAAGCAAAAATTTACAATTGATATATGTATATATATATATATATATATATATATATATATATATATATATATATATATATATATATATTGTTGTTTTTATCGAAGAGGCTGGATCACATACATTATCATTATCAATATTGTTTAGATATAGGCTACCATTATTATAACTATTTTTCTCCTTATCCAATTTTATTCCAATTGTAATTATCACCGTTATTAAGCGTGCTACTAATTCATCATCTGCAATATACGTCAACACGCACAGAATCACTAAAATGCGTTTATTTATCTATTTTTTTCATTCCTTTTCGTTCCGCAGCTGAATGATAGACTGAGAGAAAAATAGATCTCTTCAAAGGGAAAATATCTGGATGCCAAATCTCAATTCCTCTGTACTTGTAGTTCAAAATTACCAGAACTTCCATTAGTTATAATATCGCTGTAGGAATTAATGGTGTTGGTATATTTTATAAATACTGAGAGAAAAGTTGCATGATGTAAGTAGATGTCGTAAGGGTAGTCTTAACACTGTAGGGTGATATCAGCATAAACTGTTAATATTAATTATGGCAATACCTATTCAGTACTTTCCTCTCACCTACTTGGGTTTGTTCTTGCAGGATCTGGAGGAGGGGAAATGGGGGAGGGGGGGAGGGTACCTGTAATAATCAATACTATGCATATCAAAGTGAATTAGGATGTATGACCTGAAATCACAATAGTTTCGTGAACTCATTGACCTCACGTGGCTGGAATTACGGACGCACACATACGCACATGTCATTAGATGTGTATGTATGTATATAAATGTCTGTTTATATATATGCATATGTATATGTATATGTATATATACATATACATATATATATATATATATATATATATATATATATATATATATATATATATATATATATATATATATATATATATGTATATACTATGTATATATTTATGTACACACACACACACACACACACACACACACACACACACACACACACACACACACACATAAATACGGATATACACACTAATATAATATATATATATATATATATATATATATATATATATATATATATATATATATATATATATATATATATATAAATATATATGCACACACACACACACACACACACACACACACACCACACACACACACACACACACACACACACACACACACACACACACACACACACATGAATACATACACACAGTACGTGTAACTTTCCTTCAGATATACAATCGTCAAATTTCCAGTCTTGTTGCTGTGCCATATGTCTTGTCAAGAGATGGGTGATTCCACAAGGGATTTTTTTTTCGAAATTAGCATATCACTTTGAAAAATCACATTTCTACACATTTTGGACAATGCATCAGCGGTCTCGTGTGACAGCCTGTGTCTCAGAGATGCTCTCGGTTTCAACTCGATAGCGTTTATAATGAAACTTTATGAAACAGTGTAGCGTTAATTTTCCAATATTTAATATCGTTTTAATCTCATTCTCTTTTTTTCTCTCTCTCTCCGTGCGTTTAGAGAAAGGTTTCTGATTTTATCTATTGTCTTCGTTTATTTAATGATGTATTCATCTACTAATTTATCTATTTACTAATTAATTTAATTACAACTATATTTATTTACTAATTAATTTAATTACAACTATATTTATTTACTAATTAATTTAATTACAACTATATTTATTTACTAATTAATTTAATTACAACTATATTTATTTACTAATTTATTTACCTTTTTCTTCTTCATTACCTTGGCATAGATCTCCCCCTTCTACAGCAATTTCAGGCTCTAGTTTACCTTGCTGTGAAAACTACAATAGACATAGGATTTTGTACTTTTCCACCACTTCTAATCGGTGTCATGCTCATTACAGGTAAGGATTTTCGTGTATACTCAAAACCTACGAGTTAATTCTGTTTTATCCAGACCTTGCGAGATAGATCTAGTTATCCATTGATACACAAAGATAAAGATATGTTAGCGAGTATCTCCTCTATAGAAAGAGTTGTAATAGCATTTTCTTTCGTGGTTCATAGTTTATGATTGTTATTCACGAAAGGGTTTATAAAGATGGTATTTAATTGGCTGTCAGGAAGAGAGGCATTGTTAAGGTTATTAGGTTATATGTACATTTCAGAGTCTTATATAGATTTTTTTCTTCCTGTCTATGAATGTGCAGTTCTATAGCGCGCGTGAATGCAACAGGAAAGTGTAGTCTTTGTGCTATAGAGAAAATGCGAGAAAATGACATGAATTCATAAATATGTTTTCCAGTTTGAGTGAGTGTGTGTGTGTGTGTGTGTGTGTGTGTGTGTGTGTGTGTGTGTGTTTGTGTGTGTGTGTGTGTGCGCGCGCGCGTGCGTG